GTACCTATGCAAAGTAGGAAAAAGTGAAGGTTGATACCAGGACTCTTCTTCATATGCTTATTAACTGATACAGCCTGTGAAACTTGTCCATTTTAAACTTGTCTGTGATGCTGGGAGACACACAAGAGATAGGCGGCCAGTAAGGATCTACACTCTCCTCCTGCAACAGATGAGACTCAGTCGTCATTGTTTTTGCAGCAGGACATCTACACGACCCTGGCCACACTGCTAAGTGAGCGAGACCTGATCCAAGCAGAGCCTTCGTGTCTGCCATCAGAGACAAACCCAGAGAGCTATCTGCAGGAACTGTCTGCCCGACTGTGTAGGAGGAACCTCATGCAGCCTGCCCCAAGGAGATGCCCTTTCTGCAGCAGGTAGGAGGAGCCAACGTGGCAGAGTACCCATCAGTAAGACAGCACCACATAGCCAGCTCTCTGGAGTCCTTTTAGGAAGTGCTAAAATTGAACAGAGTCAGGAGGTGGGAGCAGAGTTAACAAAAGAACTCTTGCTTACTGTATAAGTAATCCATTTAGATTCTTCCATTGTTAAAAACACGGGTACCCCTCCCCCATAACGCACCCCCAAAAAACCAAGGTATGTCCACAAACCTGGTTGGAGAGAACTTTCAGGAATGTACTTTTCCTGTAAGGAGTATTAGTTAAATATTTTAAACTACACTATAAGAAAAAAAGAAATCAGAATTTTTTTTTTTTTTTTTTTTTTTTTTTTGCTACCAGGGGCTATAAATTATGCAAATATCAGGGAATTGTCATTATGAGTACCCATAAGTGCATAAAGTAATTTGATTAAGTAAAATACAATTACTTTACTCATCATACTAATCTGACAAGATCTTTAAAAGTGTTTTTCAGCCATCAGCTTCTAGACTAGGTATGCAAAAACCTATCTTCAAAATGATGCTTCTTTAGAGAAAAAAAGAAAATAACTGTGACAGCTTCACCTCACTCACTAACTGTAAACCTACTGAATGTTATCTGGCCTAAAAATCAGTAACTATAAAGCAGAGAGACAGTGCCTCATTTGCCACAGTCAGTCATCAATGTCATCAGGGTGTAATCACAACCTCAGACACACTTCCGCATGACTATATAGGGAAACGCCCACCTCGGTTTCACAGGAGTGGCCAGAAGACCTGACTCCAGGGACCACAACTGGCCTTTAGTCCATTCATATCCCCCCAAAACTCAAAAACATCTGTCATGAGTTTCATTCGTAATCGCCTCAGGTGTCAGCAGTTTTAATTTCCTGTACACATCCTTATCTCCTCAAGTCCTCAGTAATTTGATAAGGCACAGGAGCCTGTCTTTTCAGGGTCACCTTCTGGAAAAGGCTTGCCACAACTCAGTAGGCCTCCATAGGGCACTGATAAGGTCTACGCAAATGACTTTCTCTCCAGCCAGTTCTCACACGCCTGGATGTCCTTTCAACAGTCAGAGACTTCCAGGGCAGCTATATCCCTGCATATAGGATGACAAGGACTGGAGCTACTGAAAGCAAACAGAAGTACACCTGGCCTTGTCTTGGTATGAAAATGTGAAGCACAATAAATTCGGTGGACCTCTTCTCAGTCAAAACAATCACCACTACCACCATCATCAACAATAACACCTTCTCATGGTCATCCAAGCTTTTTAAGATTCTGCAAAACAACCTTGCTCTAAGTGCTGAGTTCAGACTTCCCAGCTATGCAGGGCGGCACCTAGTTTACCTTATCTACATTGTCCTATCAAGAGCTAGATGTCAGGTTCCAGGTCCTTCTTCACTTCCTGGAAAGCTTCAAGACCCAAGCAAAAAGTTGCAAATACTCAGATTAGCATGCCTTGTTATGTACAGTTCTTTGAGTCTTCTCCCCAGGCAGGTTCTTAAAAAAAATTCTGCCCCACTCTTTCCTCCCTTTTGCTTTCCCCTTTCCCACCTCAACCTTCCTACCCCCCTCTTTATACCCGTCTGTAACATCCCCCACCCACCGGAGGCACACAGGGGGATCCTGCTTTTCAGGGCAGCTTCTCAGATCACAAGCCACTTCCTGCCTCACTTCTGCAGTTGGGAAACATACACCAATGTCGCCGAGGACATGCTGAGGACAATGTCTTTTCAAAATGAAAGAGAAAAATGAAATGACACTTACCTATACTTAGAAACCAAAAAGTACCCAAGGAGATTTAAAAAAAAACAAAACACAAGATAGCTGCATGGTCTTTTGAAACCAAATAGGAAATAATGGCATTGGCATCAAATTTGCAGCCATCTTCTTTGCTAAGCAAGGAAGCATTGTTGGCACTGTCCCATAGCAAGCCCTTCATCAGATATCTGAAAATACTTTCTTGGAAGAGCATGCTGATTCCCACTGAAAAGGTCACCAGGCACACAGCCCTTGCACATGGACCACCTGTGTTCATCTACAGACATAGGGTCTCAGGTTTCCTAGGGTAGACACAATGAAATTTTAAAAGGAAGAAATCTGCCTTTCCCTCAGCACGGCCCCCCCAACAGTGATCCCCCAAATATCCACTAAGAAGGCTCCTGTGGCTGAAAGAAAAACAAAACTTTTTCCCACCTGTCAAATGACAGAGGAAGAGAAGCCTCTCTTAAGAGACCCAGAAAATGAAGGCAGGTGGCAAGCTGACCGACCAGTCCTGGTATGCCACTATTCTTCAGGTGAGGTGCTTACAGCGAAGGGACCTCAAGGGCAGCCGGGCAGAGCAAGGCCCTGAGAACCTCATGCTTACACTGCTAGCCATCAAAATTAATTCAATTTCCTATGCCTGCCCTTTCTTGGGCCCCCATATGCTTTATGCAAGGCACCTGTTGGCTCTCGTTACCCATCAGTCACCTCCAAGCGTCAGACTTTCCACCAGGGACAGACACAAGTGCCCAGATGCCACCAGCAGGTGGACTGGCTGCCTCCTGGCCTTGCCTTGTCCTGAGAGTCATGGTAACCCTTCATCACCCAGAGCAGGCACTTCCTGGAAAAGTTCCCCACGGCGGGTAGAAGCACTTTGCTTACTTTTTAAAACTTAATTAATCTGTTTATTTTTATTCACTTTACATCTCTGTGGTAGCCCTGAGGAGAGCAAGGGCAAGAGGACAGAAGGGCTGTAGACAAAAGAGAAACTGGGGGTAGGGTTATCTCTGGGTAGGCTCCTGGGAGTATTGAGAGGTACTCAAGCAGAGACTCCTTGTAGCAGAGGCCACAGAGACTGAAGGGGACACCCACTAACTAAACTAGTCTCCTAGCACTTTGCTTTTTAACTTTCCCAAAGAACAAGGACACTCATCTGTTTGAGGTTCGACACTCATCTGTTTGAGGTTCGGCTTCACTTCTTTCTAAAACCCTTAAGTCACTACGAGCGAAAACTCCTCATCACAGGCATTCCTCATTCCTGGGATGAGAAGTATAGCCTTGCTGTTTTTGCCACATGTGAATAAGGTACTCTTAAGTGAAACTGGTTTGAGGCAAAGAAACTGTTAAACGAAAGCCAGCTGTTGATGGAAGAATTGCCTCCTTCAGACAGGAAGACCTGGTTAGATACGGTTTAGTTTGCGAATACAGTAGTTCAGAGTCACAACTATCAGTGAGCATTTGCCTCTAGTAACACAGGTAACGTGTGAGTACTTCCACAGTCAAAGCTCTTCTACAGAAGCCACTGCTCCAAACATCCTCCTCCTCATCAAGCAAACTCCCAAGTCTACAGCTTAGTGTTACAACTATAGACAAAACGAATCCATTAGATAAAACAGAATACTCAAATGCTCTTTCAGCCCCAGGGTTCAGTGACAACATATATGCATAGGACAGAAACGGAGATGTAAAAGCTTTTCATCTGGGGAGGAGTGACAAAAAATACATTTGGTTTCTCAAATGCCCCAGAGTTCTGTCACCCCAGGAACAGAATTGACTCTGTAGAGGCCCAAGCCCAGCCCTGGCAAATGATCGCATAACTAACTTTAATCAAGCAGAAGTTCCCTTCACCTTAGAGTGTGGCAGCCTTGGGGGATTGTTGATGGGTACCCAGCGCCTGGCCCTCATTATCTCTAACCCAGGGCCAGGAATGAGGGATCCACGATAGCATCAGGATACACAGGGCTCTACCTCTGGATGTGGTTATCCAACCGCTTTTGAAATCTTGTCCGATTCGATCTCCATCAAACGTGCTCACTAACACTTAAAATTTCTGACATTTGATTCCAGTTTCGGGTCAATAGTCAAGTAATGATTTAACACTCTCCACTCTGAGACATCTTTTTCCTGTTCAGACAAGGCAGGGCTGGAAGTGCGCTGACTGAAACTCTAGTGCGGACCACCAGAGCGCGGCCGGAGAAAGCAACAAAGTAGGAACTTGACAGTGCTGAGTCATTACAAACCGACTCCTTGGGTATAGTAGGCGTCCACGGGCCTTTTGAGCATCAATAATCCCCTTTCTAGAGGCAAATAAAACACATCCATGTTGTACGCAGTGATCCACTCCCCGTGTAGGCGGGCGACCATGGTGGGGAATTAAGCTACAACTACACAAACTCACAGCTGCTGTCCAGGTACTAGAACTTTATCCCAACACTGAAAGATGGCTATTGGGATTTGGGTGGGACTAGTCCCCCTGAAGCTCGGCTTGGGGCCACACTCCGGTGCTTTTTACTCTTAAGCTGTTAAATTCCCCGGCAATTGGCGGATGGAGAAAGAGCCTGGGGGAAAAAATGATGCATAACGATTTGTTCTCCGGGCGGATGAAACGGAGAGTAGAGGACGCAGGATGCTAACTGGCTTTTCCTCCCAAGTGCAGGTCACCTGAACCGCGATGCCTCCCAGTCTCTGAGGAGGCTCCCTGAACTCGCCATATGGCTCCGTTTTCAAGAGGAGGGAAGAAACAGTTTTAGGCCAACCTGCCCGCGGCAGGAAACCCCTTCCCCAACCCCTGCCCTGCGCGCGAGCTACTGCCGGCATCCACGGTCCCGCCCGCTCCGGGCTGGGGCCGGCAGATCCCCCGGCGGCCGCCTCTGCACCAGTCGCCAACCTCCGCGGCGGGCCGAGGTCATGCCCGCCTGCCCCCGGCGCCGGCGAGGCCCCCTCCCTGTGCCAGGCGGCAAGCCGGAGATGCGCCGGCAGGGAAGGGGGATCGGCGGCAGAGTTGGCACCCGGACTCACCAGGTAGGCGCCCACCGTGCCCTGCGCCAGCATCAAGGCGCACTCGGACACCAGGAAGATCTTGATGTTGGAGAAGCAGGACACCTTCTTTTTCTTCTTCTTGTTCCTCTGAGCCTCGTCCCCCTGCAGCTCGCCGCTCCGGCCGCCGCCCGACGAGCCGCCCGGCTTCTTTCCCTGCATCCTTCCCCCGCCGCCGCCGCCGCTTTCCCGCTCGCCTCGGGTGTCGTGGCCGTTGCCGGGCGGGGGTGCGCGCCGCGAGGCTGCGTGCTGTCCCCGCCCCGGGCCCGCAGCGGCCGCCCCCGTCCTGCCGCGGCTAGGGAGGTTGAAGGCTCCGCTCCTCGCCGCCGCCGCGCTCGCCCCCTTCCTCCTCCTCCTTCTCCTCCTCCCTCCGCCCTCCCCTCGCCGCCGCCTCCGGCTTGGGCTGTGCCAATCACAGGGACTCCTCGCGCCGCCCGCCGCCGCCGCCGCCACCGCCTTGCCTCTCTCGGACTCCGGCCGCTACCTTCTCGGCTCTCTCTGGCCCGCCGGCCTCGCCTGCCTTCTATCACCCCTAGCGACCCAAACCGGGGCAGGGGGCCCGATCGCCGCCTTGAGCCCCGGGCTGTGCCGCTGCTGGCTGCGGGTGCGTCCCTGGAAGGCACGAAGGGATCTGCTGGGGCGCTGAGGGTTGGCTGATGGTCGAGGTCGGCGGGGTCTAGCTACTCCGAGAAATCGCAGAATCGGGGAGTCCTTGTTTTGGGGGGCGGGGGGTACTGAGAGAGGAAGGTGCTACCCGGCCACTAGGAGGTGCTGTGGGATCCTGGGCGCCACGGCGGAAACTGGGTGGTACTGCGGCTAGCAACGGGGCGCCGAGATGGGAGTGCCCAGGCACCCTACTTGGGGTGCCAGTACCTAAAGCTTAGGAACCCGAGTGGTAAGGCTGGAGAGGAGGAGCTGTTTCCATAGAGAGAGAGTCCCGAGTACTGGTGCTGTATTCGGCTTGGTTTGGGGATTTCTAAGGACAGTTGTTGCGCCCTGGGGCTTCGGAAGATGCCAGAAGTCGGAGCTGCCAAGGGCTTCTTGGTCAGGCAGCCTCTGCTTCTGCACTCGGTGGCTACTGGTCGTATCGAAATAGCCCATTCCCCGAAAATGGGAGAAAGAAACCGAAGCTCTGAGAAGGGAAGTTAGATCTTAAGGGAGTCTCGCTGACTGATGGTCTGCCCCCAGCCACGGAGTGCAGGCGACTGCAGGTCACAAGGACCCCAGCAGAGGGCCTTGTTTAGTTCTCCCAACTGCCTGCATTCGGAGTTCAGGAAGCAGTGAGGCACAAGCCTGTCCTGTCCCCACCCCTCTCCTGACTAGGTGGCCCTCCCTGGTCCTGGCCTGAAGGTCTGCATACAGCAGTGCCAAACTGTCCTCACCCGCAGCATCCCCTAGGATTTTGGTCCGCAAGGCACTTCTGATGGAATCCACCGGTTCCATTAACCGCGTTTGGAAGCAAGGGAGAAAACGGACAGGAACAGAAAATACTTACAGTTCCACTTTAGGAACTGAGAGGCCAAACCCATTTGGAAATTGTTTTTTTCTTAGTAATCATATCAAAAAAGAGACTCACTTTTCCGAGGGCCTATATCCCAATGCCAAGGCTATCATTCAAAAGTGCATAGCAATTAGCACGGCCATAATATCTACTTTCTTCCAGAGAAATTGAGTAAGAATAGACGGTGGCACAGTGGGGGTGTGTTGTTTGCCTTACCATTTAAATATAAATTGCTTCATCCGTCTGTCTTCCAGACATGACCTCACCTAGTCTTGGTGTGGTTTTCAATGTCCCCTTGTCTGGGGTACCCTCTGCCTAAATTACTCCCTGGCATCACTAGCTACACTGTTCTCCACCAGTGCTATTGTAATTGGAGTTGTTAGGGTCAAAGCCTGGGGCCCTAGCAGCCCTAAGAAGCTAGGCTCAGCCACCTGTCCTCAATTTGCCAATTAAAGGAGCAAGTAATGAAAGCAGAGAAGGAAGATTATTCGATGTGGTTACATTGGGAAGAGGAACAGGAGATGGGTCCAGTGATCTCCCCTCACCCCAACTTCATCTTCCTTGTTCTGCATGAGCTTTACTTTAGAGTACAAAAAGATATGTACCACTAAGCAGTCCTGGTCAAGATGCAGTCCTGTCTATCATTAACCCATCACCCTCTGAGCTCCAGTCTCCTATGAGGTGGTCTGACAAGTTGCCAGCCTACTGTGAACTAACTTACTGGTGTAGGCAAGTTCCTCCTCTTCTTCCCCCAGCATGAGACTGGTAGGGAGATTCTGATTCCTTCGGGACTATTAATTCAGTAGTCTGATTGTCTAGAGCTATTACACCATGGCTGAAATCCTTACTGCCTGGCTGCCTTTCCTCTACCACCTCTGGGCATGTTTAGCCAGCTTTCTTCAGGATCTTCAGCTTCTTGCCGTTGCTCCTTCTCATGACTCTGGCTCCCTCCTCACTAACAAAGACCCTTGATGAGCTTGGCCTTCCCTGCCTCTGAATATGAGTTATAAGGCTGCAAGTTGAAAGGTCATTAGGAGTGCACCAAGCTCTCAGTACAGAGATGCACTTTACTGTAACCCTCAGCAATGGTCTAAACTAGAGGTTTTGATTAGCCCTGTTTAGCGAGAAAAGAGAGATCTAAGAAGGGGAACCAGCCTGACAAGTACTGCTTGCTTACTGGGTAAAAGTTGGCAGAGCCAACAAGGTGTCTGCTGTCACATCCTACAGTTTCATCAGGAAGGTGGGATTCACATCCTCCACCTTAGAAGCAGAGATTCAGAGAGATAGATTCAGAGTAGATAGCCCAGTGTCAAACAGCGAAAGTAGGACAGGACTTGAATACAAGCCCGGCTGTCTGCTCTAAACCACATTGCCTCATGTAGACAGAGGGGAGGGCAACTTAACTTTAGATTTATAATATGAACTATCTTTAAATAAATTAGACATTGTCGGAGCTAGGGTTCTAGATTAAGACTGTCAAGTCTTCCTATAAATAACAGAAACTGGCTATGAGTGCCACACTGTACCAGAAGACGTAAGCATCTATCAAGTCACCTGCAGGCTTAGCCAGTATGAAAGAAGGCATTTTGAGCACTTAGTTCAGTACCCTTCCTCCTTTACTAGTCTTGATCAAAACTGTAGCTCTGGGGTGATAGAATAGGTCTGTGAGCAACAAGTGCTCCTCCATTTTGCCATTCCTGACACACAAAGAAAGAGGCAGAAAACTCACCACCATTGGGTCTGCACAGCATGCAAAAAGCTTCTCAAGTAGTACTTGGATGGCTGGTACCTTCTCCACCCCACATATAGGAAGAAATGGGTCTGCTGGGCCCTTTTCTCCTAAGACAGAGCAACAGGTGGTTTTGTGGCATTCATCTCAATTGCCAGACATGGAGCCTGTACATTTCAGCAGGAATTGATAGGAGTGAGTACCTAAAGAGAAATGAGATAGGAAGAAGCAGACTACAGGACCTACCTCTCCTGATGCCAGCATTACTCTTTCCAACCAGCTTTAGAAATAGTCCACCGTGACTTAGAGAGCAAGGAAAACAGAGCCTACTGCCCATGGGGCATCTCCTCAACAAGATGGCCTTGATATTGCCATGGAGAAACAGGAAACATCCCAGGGCCCACCTAAAGTCCTTTCATTCTACCAGTCCCCCTCGTGGTGAGTAGTGGATTTAAGAATGGGTCAGTGGTCAGCCTCCACAGAGATCTTGCATTTATTTTGATTTTCAACCACTTTCCTGGGCTAGAGTGATAAGAAAATATTGATAGTAAGGCCTTGGCTCTAAGATTCTTGTCTTGTTGGTTAGAGGCAGTATTCTGGATGCTGCAAAGCTACATAATTTTGAAATCTGACCCAAGAAAGCCAGAAGATTTCCTGACATGAAAATAGTTTATGACCTTGAAGTCATAAACTATTGACATCTAAAAGGTAAATATGAGTGGTTAGGATTTAGAGAACTTGTCTCTTCCACTGTAGAAGAGAAGTGGGTTAAAATCATGTGCACTCACACACATGCACACACAGTAACGAAATCTTCTGCTCTCACTGGGCTGTGACAAGATATCACAGCACGTGGCCTCAATGTAATTGAACACAGTGAGAAACTGTTGTTCAAGCAATTCACACAAGTCCTCTTTTGCCGTCTCCCATCTTGTTCACAGGGAAATACAAAGTTGAAGAATAAATGTGTAGAATGATGCCTTGTTGTCATTGGAATAAAAAGTAAATGCATAGATTCCTACCCTGTAGAAGGCATTTATATTTTTTCAAAAAAATTATATATCTATAATATATATATATAATTTATATATATATATAATTACCAATTGCATACTATGTTCACCCAAGTATAAAACTGAAGTGAGGCCAACTTTAGCTTGAAACTAATGCTTGTGCTGAAAGTAAAGATTGCTTCTTTTCCATATAGCCTTTCTCTTCCCCATACCACTTTCCAGTTTGCCTGGTCTATGTCTTTCTACCAATATCCTCTGTTAGATATCCATTATATTCTGAGATCATATTTTAAATTATATCTCTTAATTTAAACCCTCCCTGACTTGACAAAGAATAAAAAGGATAAACATCCATGTAGATCAGTTTGCAAACAGGCGAATCTGAAATCTAGGTGGAAAAAAAAAAAGGATATGAGAGCATTAACTGAAGATAAGTAAGGTTTTTGAAATGTGCTTTATTCATGACAGATTAGTTTTGAGGTGAAACAGAAGGAATAAAAATATACTGTTATCTCTGTGCTTTCAGGATCTCCCCTCAGGGTCTCCTGATGCTTTGGAAGTAAATAGAATTTGTTTATCCAAATGGACTATTTGATTCTTAGTATAGAAAACGTATGTACTTATGCATCGTGGTTTAAGAAAAAATCTGCCTAAAATCAGGTGGAAAGAAAACAATATTGGGTTTTATTTTAATGTGATATTTTTATTTTTTTCTGGTTTTGAAAACTGGTTCGAACAAAGGAACCATCTTCAAGGGACATTCTGGTTATTTTTATTCTGATGGAGTCATCACATTGGGGAAAGTACTTGGGCCGCTAGTGACAGAGCTGGGCACATGGGGGGTAGAGTCCACTTGCTGTCTGTCTTCTGTCTGACTGGTGTTTGGGCAGCACATCTGAACTTCGGAATGAACGCAAGGATGCTGAACGGCAGATCACAATAGTTGTCCTGATGTTTCTTTTCCAGTATTTATTCAGATACCTGTGAGCATGCCAAAAGGCTGCAAGGACATAAAGGGACTGAGCATCAGGATGCTGAGTACAGCATGACAGATGGTGAGGAGGTTGCTATTAGCATAGGGAC